CCACATGATTAAGATATGCACCAACATCATCATCACCAACAGACTTGTAATTCTCAGGTTCCACATAGTGAATAGGTGAATAACTAACATTAACATTTTCAGCAACACTGTGAAACTGAGGTACACTAGGAGTATTGAAAGTACCTATCGGATCGTTGCTCCCTTTATAACTGCATAAATTACCAACAACCTGGTTTCCAATTTCACCACCCCATTAACCTCCTCAACTTCATCAACCACCACAAACACTTTCACAACCCTTCCTCCACTACATTTGATTACGTTTATCAACATTCTAACATCCATGTCTTCAACTATAGCTATATAATAATTTAATTCAGGATGGTGGAAACGAAGACTAATTCTATATTTGTCTAACAAACCAATTTTGCTTCTTACCAAAGATACAAAATCACTATAACTAATATACTCAGAAAATATCAAAGCAAGTTCAGAAATACCTCCCTGTGGACATATGTATTCCAGATTAGTTCCATTAACTTGCCATCTCCCACCGGTTACAAGACAAACCATATATTCAATCATTTTTTGAGCAAATTGTAGAGAGAGTTCCTAAACAAATAACAACCAAAATGATATTTTTTCTACAAAACTATTTATATAGCAACCTGATTTCGTAGTCAAAACAAACCATTTCATAGTCAACCTAAAAAAAAAAAAAAAAAAATTCAAAAATAACAACGATTTCGCAGATGGACCTATTACATCTGCGAAATTACCCCTATATATACAAAAAAACATTAAAAAATTAAAAAAAAAAAAAAAAAAAAAACCACCTGCGAAAGTACAAGCACCTAAAGCACAGTTGTGCTTTAGGCACTTGTACTTTCGCAGATGAGAAGCCCATTTCGCAGATGAGACCTTCTCATCTGCAAAATGGGTGGCCAACTGGCCATTTTTGTAATTTCGATTTTTTTTGGCTATTTTTGTAATGTCATTAGTGTAAATGGCTATTTTTGTAAATTTCTCAATTTATAAAGCTCGTCCAAATAAGACAAATTATAGTCGTTTTAACATGAAACACTTTAACGCTTTTATCATATCAAATTTTTTCCTACCCTCTACCATTGCTGCTATGTATTTATTTTGAATTAGTTTATAACCGATCATTGATTATAAAATTAATTAAATTTTCATAGTAAAAATTTAAAATTATTAATCAATTTTTTCAAATAAATTATTAATTACGAGATATTCTAGTTATATAAAATTATAATTATTGTTTTAAATAAATATATAAAACTATATTACTTTATAATATATATTAGGGGAAAATGCAAAAAAGTCCAACCAATTATACATATATATGCAGAAAAACCCTTATATTATTTTATGTTCAGAAAAACCCTTATATTATTATTTACGTTTCAAATAAAACCAAATCGAAAATTGTTAAGAGAAATGATCAACTAAAAATATGATATAATATACATATCCCTTATATTTCTTCGATTGTATGCAAAAATGAAAAAGATGTCAAACCGACATATATTTGGATTACTTTCACTCGATTTTGTTATCTATAAGGTTGATTTTTCTCGTCTTAACTAATCGTTTTTATCCCAAATTAAAATCAATATCGTATTAAAAAAATAAAAATGTAAGAAACATTAGATTTTTAGTTATCAATTTCTCTTAAAAACTCGTATCTTGGCCTTTTTCGAATGGTAATTATTAATATAAGGCTTTTCCTGAACATAAAAATAATATAAGGGTTTTTCTGCACATACATGTATAATTGGTTGGGTTTTTTTGTATTTTTTCCTATATATTAATTGTATTTTATTTTTTTATTTAGAATGTGAAATTTAAAATAAAGAATCAATTATTAATTTAATAAAATTATAGTAGGAAATTTAAAATTTAAAATGAAAAATTAATAGGTTGACATGTGACATGATAAATGACATATATTAATATAGAATTCTAATATTATAACACTTATCAATAAAAAAATAAAATTATTTATTTATTACAATAGGATTTTGAAATCAAACGGTAATAAAATGTTGAACAAATTACTGAATGGTCCATGTGGTTTGTAAAAAAATTCCGTTTGATCCTTATCTTTTATTTTGCATGTTGGACATCCATAACATTGATTTTAATACGTTTTGGTCCCTGCGTCCATTACCTGTTAGCCCTCCCTGTTAATAGACCAAATGTGCCTGACAAACTAGGGATAATTTGTCTTTTTAATCAAAAACCTCATAAGAACGTTACTCAGATACATGCATTCTCCCTTATCTTTCTCGTTCCATCCTTCTTCTCTACAACTTCTTGATTCTATAAAACCCTAATAGCGATAACATGTGATTGTGGTCATCCAACTGTTATATGAACCTCAACCACCAAGAAAAACCCTGAAAAACTATTTTATTGTTGTACTCGGAAGGTAATTTTTGGTTTTATCGTTGTTTTGCTCTCAACACTTAAACATAATTTATAAATTACTGAAATTGCAGGGACCATGATATGGGTTTGTATGTTGGGTTGATGAAGATAGATCTGGTCATGCCAAGATTACGAATAAGCTTCAAAATGAATTAAGAAATTGAGGCTATTGCTACTGTGCAATTGGGTTTTTGTTATGGCAACTCTAATTTACAAATTATAATGGAGTGGATTGTAATTGACTTGTTGGCTGTTATGTAATGTTTTTTTTTAATATTATATATATATATATATATATATATATATATATATATATATATATATATATATATATATATATATATATATATATATATATAAATTAAAAAGAATTGAACGGACTAGAATGGATTGAATTGTAATGGAATGTATTTTAATTGATTTTTGTAATGGAATATGGATTTTAATTGACTTGGTATGTAGCTACAATGGAATGGAATTGTGTGATGCAATTGGAATGTCATTTGGTTAGATTGTACTTGTCTAGTGCAATTGTAATTGGAATGGGATGCAAAATACCAACACAAGATTCATAATGTAATTGGAATGGAATGCAAACGTCACTAGATTAGCATAATTTAAAACATCCCAATGTTAACTGAAGATCATCACAGTGTTAACAAAAACATCAACACAAAACAGAGTTTAAAAAGCCATTACATTAGGCTACAAAAAGAGATAGTAGGATGCTTTTCAAACAATTTTCTTGCCCTTCTTCCCAGCCTTACTTGGCCTGTTTTGACTTATACCACGTACACTACTCTAGCCTAATGTACTTTATATATATGGCATGTAATTAACTACTGATGCTATATATAATATATCATGTAATGTAGAGATCTTCATCACAACAACTTTTATGGGGCAATTCCTCTAGAGTTGGGAAATTGTACAGAGCTCCAAAGCTTATAAGTACAATACTTTATTATCATGAATCATGATATGGCAGTTTAGTTTTTGAGGAATTAATGATATCTTTTACTTTTTTATTTGCAAAAGTAATGTTCTTTTTTGACAGATTTTTGCTGAATAATTCCTTTGGGTTTATTCCTACTGAAATAGGAAATCTTTCAAATCATCAAGCATTGTAAGTTACTTAAATATTGTCCACAATAAATAATTTTTTTCCTTCTTAAAACTAGAATTGATCTAGTTTTTGTTTATGTATGTTGCAGGATGTTTCTAGCAACTCTTTGAGTGGAAGTATTCCCACATCACTTGGGAATTCGAGGAGCCTTTCGAATTTACAAGTATATGCTTATCTTCATTCTTCAGTACCTTTTGATTTTTTTCTAGAATTTATATGTATGTTGACTTCCATCCTCTGTTTTATCATGAAACAACGTCTCCAATAATTTTTATAGCAAAGCAAATCCCATCTGATAGTGTTCTTGACCAATTTGGATATGTCTCGTAAGTTTTGACTCTCATTTCTTGCTTATATAATTGTGTGTGTGTGTATATATATATATATATATATATATATATATATATATATATATATATATATATATTATATATATATATATATATATATATATATATATAATGCAACTTTATATACAAATTATAGGAGAAAATTGTAATTGTTGGTTGCTTATTAGTAGTTTTCTTGGAAACAGTGGCTTGTGTGGGAAGCATATTAACCGGTTATTGTAACACCCCATTTTCGTATTCCAATAGAATTCAATATAAACCGTCATTTATAAAATTCGAAGTAGATATATATATATATATATATATATATATATATATATATATATATATATATATATATATATATATATATTACTTTTTAGCCATAGTAATCTCCATAAACACGCAGGAAACGTCAATATGATTTCCAAAAATATATAGAACGCCTGAATCCAACTTCGTATGAAGAAATTATGCTTCTTCGAAGTTTCGTGATTAAACCGACATCACTATGCATGTCGTAAAATACGAATTAGAGATAAATTACTTATTACCTTAGCAATCTAAACAAAGGTCATAGTAGTCGTAAAACCGAGAGCGTGCATGTAGAGAACGTCAAAATCTGACTTCATATGATGAAGTTATAATTTTTCGAAGTTTCAGCTTAACAGTGGCGACACACAACCTTCTAGAAAGCGACACGTAGGCCACCAAGAAAGTGACACATGGCACCCCAGTCACCACCCAAGTGTGTGGTGCCCATCCCTCAAAAATGGTTATAAATACCTTTCTAATCCCCTATTTGTTCCTCATTCATTTCCAAACCCTCCCTCTGATTTTCTGAGTTATGATCTCGAAAACTAGACTAAAACTCACGTTAAACGCGGGGAGTATATAAAAAAACATTGAATTGTAAACTTATATTACATCATAGGAAGCATGACAATTAAAAGTAGATTACCATAGCTATTTTAAATTCATTAACATACATTACAATAGCTATTTTAATTTCATAACAATTAAAACAATAAATAAATAAAAACTAATAAATCATAGAATAATATAAAATATTAAAATAGTTCATTACAATAAAAACAACTATGTTCGAATGCAAATTAAAATATATATAATCAGTAATATCGACTTGGCATACTCATTGTATCAAAATCAGAACGGATTGAAAAAACTTGTTGAGAATGATGTACCGGAACCACATACTCAATCGTATTTCCTCTTAAGAAATATAGGGTATTGTTTCTATAATCCGACCATTCATGTGCACTTTCATTGTAAGTACTATCATCTACTTTAACCCACTGATTGTGCATGAAAATCCAAATAACACACGAAGTATCTCCACTTATAGAGACATATCCTAATTTTCCGTGAAACTTGATTAGTCTTGATGCATATGGTTTTAATTCATTAATAGTAGAAGGTGAAAATATGAGTATATGTTCTTCTGAATAAATATCAAATCGCAATATGGTATCATTAGATAATAAGAAGTATACGGCACCGCCACTTGTAACTGCCTCATCAGAGACAGGATAAGCAGATGATGGTAATCGGATATTTTGAAACTCCCTCCATTGCCATGTAGTAGATGAAAACAATTCTATGTTGTAGTAATCATAGTCCACTTTTTCCGTAGGCATATCACTACAAATAAAATAGCATATAAGTAAATCATAAAGTAAATTAATAACATAAAATGTACTACATATAAACTCTTACGATGGCTTTGTGTATGACAATCGAATGACCTTGAAATGTAACGGGTTTGAACTGATAACTACCAAAGCAAACTTTGTTGCAGTGTATTCAGAGGTTGGAAACGGTATCCATTTGGCATCTGAAGTCGTTGGTTTGATAACAAATAAAATCTTTGAAACATATTCATCTGGATCATAGGATTCAAGAAGAAGGAGTCCACACAATGATGATGCTAAAATAGTACAAGTATGTGGTAGCCAATTAATGTCATGATTGTTGCTACCAAAAGACGGAAGAAACTGACGCTCTATATTTCTCCATGCTTTTTTTGTTGAACGATAATTCCGCAAACCACATTATTTCTACGGTTGTAGTTATGAAGAACATAGTTGTTGTATGTTAGATTTCCATAATATGTATTTGTACAACGTACAGTAGCAAATGTTTGTAATGATGTTCGTGAAAGAATTTCAATAATTAGTTCAGAAGTCAATAATGATAACTACAAAAGAAAGAAATAATAAGATAATAATATTAGAAAAACTTAAAATTTAATATTTGATGACATACGATTTTAATTGATAATAAGTATACTGTTTGTAGCATTGAGGGTAAAGAATTTTACCCGATCCATTTTCATTTTTTTCCAATACATCAATGATTGTATCGTTAGACGTGATCATTGAGATAGCATAACCTTCTGTTTTGCTATTCAAATTGTCATGTGTAATTTGAATTTTGAACGCCATCTTTTTTTCCAATAGTATATTTAGAGCAGATGGATAAATTTCATTATTACCAACCTAAAAAAAAGAATGTTTATAAAAATAGATATACAAAATAATAATTTTGTTTTATGTAAATGAAGTTAATATGTATAACCTTATAGAACTCATGAACCAACTCATGTGCGTTTTTTCTTATAAGCTTCTTTGCGTCAGAATCATATAAAGTAACTGACGCCGAACCGGTAATAACTTCAACTACAATGGTGGTTTTAAAACTGAAAGCATTGATGTAAACATATTTAGTAATATAAATTTATATAATTTAACAGAACAATATAATAATATTTATAAAATAAGTTTGAAAACCTGGGAACAACAGAAATGACTTTGTTTATGCAGTTTGAAGTGTTACAATAAAAAACTTCTTTATCTTGAGACTGATCATGATGGATTAAAATGTGTTTCAAAAAATTTCTGTTGACATCTAATACAAGTAAAACAATATCATTCCCCTTCAGCACATACTTGCTTAATCGTACCGAAAACAATTAAAGTTTTTTCCTAAAAAAATGTTAATGGAAGTTTAAATTTTAGTATAAAATAATAATAATCAAGGAATAAGATATAAATAATACAATAGATAAGCAAATATAAAAACGAAAGTGTAATATAAAAGATGCATAACATATAAGAACATGTACCTTTGTGGGATATTGTTTGTAATGTTGAATGTGATGATGGTTTTAGAGCATTGGATGAAGATGATGCATTCACTAACGAACAATGGTATGTATATCAAAAAATCAAATGAAATATAAAGAGAAATGAGTTATACAAATTGAACATTATAAACATTCAAGCACTTCAAATATAAACAAAATGCTTAAATATGAATCTTACCATTTGTGATGTCAGACAGTGGTGTTGTTGGGTGACACATTAGTAACAAACCTTGTAGGTTTTTTCTTTCCCGAAGCATTTGAAATGTCAGTCATTTCAATATGTTTGATAATTTTTTCGTTCTTAGTCATATATATATATATATATATATATATATATATATATATATATATATATATATATATATATATATATATATATATAGTGATGATGATGATTTCTAACACTTTAAATAAGAGAACCGGATATTTGAATGGTTTGAATTTGGTAAAAAATAAATATTGCATATAATTAAATAAAGTAATGAAATATTAGTTAGGTTTAACTTAGGTAAAAAATAAAGTCTTCATATAATTATGGAGGGAATAAATGCAGTTTAGAAAAATTGATTTTGATTACATATTCCATTATTTTATTTTGTTACCATATGAAAACGATGCATATTTATGGAAATAAAATTTAAATTTGACTTTAACAAATAAAAGTAGGTGAAATCTCATATATAATAAAACATAAATATATGAATATATATATATATATATATATATATATATATATATATATATATATATATATATATATATAGGTAACTGAATATTAGAAGGATTTAAATTAGGTAAAAAGTAAAGCATGCATATAATTATGATAGGAATAAATAAAATATAGATGACATGTATTTTGAATACTTAGACTATGATTTTATTCTGTTACCATATGTAAACGATGTATATTTATGGAAATAAAATTTAAATTCCATTTAGACAAATAAAAGTAAGTGAATTAGCATATATAAAAAAATTCTTAATTTTCGTGTGTGTGTGTGTGTATATATATATATATATATATATATATAATAAATTTATAAAATCAAATGATGAATGAAAGAAAAAAGAAAGAAAATATGCATTAAATCAAAAGAGTTCAATAACTTGAAATTGTCATAACCTCCAATTGTATCATTGTGTACACACCAAATAAAAACTCAATGGAATTTTAAAAACAACCAAAAGATCAATAAATAGAGAATTAAAAATGTGACACACAAAAGATTAAAAAGAAAAAATCTATAAACATATCGAAGATGATTTGTAAAATTTTGATGGGCGGCTTGATATTAGTCCAACTTTTCCAACTTTGGGATCTTCTAAGGTATCCCGTACAGCACAAGTTTTTGAAGAAGACCACTCCAAAGAGTCAGTGTTGGCATCAATCTCAATAGAGCGCTTCCCCGTACTCGATGATGGTGTTACAGCTTCAAGGTCAACAACATCAAGATTGTCATCATGCATAGAATTAGTATTTTCCTGCAGAAAACAGAAAATAATAAATATCGATCAAGAAAAATATAAAACAAAACATACCATATTTGCTAAAAGTCATGAAAAATGAAAGAAAAATATATTGAAGAGAGGGCACAAGGTTTGACTTTGGAAATATACCTTATTTGGCTTGTTAATAGGAGTACCATTATCATTTATATTATCATGTTGATGATTTGGTGACCGTTTTGTCACCTCAGCAAGAACCCTTTCATCATCGGTTAACTTATGCACAATGTATATGGAAATCTGAACTTTGAAGACAAACTTCTTATTTAGAAGAATTTTGAACTCATCAGGTATCTGTTGTCTCCCTTGATCCTAATTTACATTATAAAATGGTTGGAAAAGTTAAAGAAGAAAAATCATATATGTCATATTTTTTGAAACCTTAGCTATTTTGTCCATCAACCATTGGTTTCCACGATGAATAAGATCTTTTACATGACGCTCAAACAATACAAACGAAGAAGAGCCACTTTCATCTTGCACACAAACTACTATCCTAATCCTAAAAATTATAACATAATACTTATATTTAGCTTGCCATACACAATGAAATATATGAAAAATGTAAAATACATGCATAGTCAAAGAGATAATAATTACTTACTTTCCAAATACATCCGAGACAAATCCACAACCATCACAGTGAAAAGTGCCAGCATCAACATCATCATCATTTTTAGTAACTTTTTTAGAAAAATCACAGCAATAAAATGAATACCAACCATCATCCATATCAAAACCAATGATAGTAACGATAATGGTTAAACCAACTTCCTATTTCATATATAGGAAAAAAAAGGAATCATATTAAAATATTATTTCATATAAATCTCTAGATATAAAATCAAAACAATAATAAAATGCGGAAACTGTTATATAAAAATGTTAAGTAAACCTCAGTAAAATCAGGAATTTCATCAATGTTTTTTATCTGAAAAAGGAGGTAGTAATCCTCTGGATTAGCCACAACGGTATCTGAGTTGAGCTGGGATTTACGGCTAGAAGACTCAACATTCGTATCCAAAGCATTAAGACTACATAAACAAAAAAGTGAGGTTATTCAACAAAATTAATGATTTAGTAAGATAAATGTGTTAAAAATGGTAAATAACATACTTTGATTTGAACTCCAAAATCTGAGGCATATCATCATTTATATGCAATCTAGACCCAAACAAACAATTACCAACTTGAGGTTGACCTGCAAGAAAAAAGTAAAATAATATTGTTAGTAATTACTTTGAAGTTGAAATGATAATTTGTTGTAAAAAACACTTACCACCCCAAATTTTGAGTTTGGCCAAACGTAGCAGGATAATAACAGGAGCAGTGTCATTATTATGTTGTGAAATGTAAGTATTCAGCTTCATTGCAAAACTGCCCCACAAAGCGACTGCAATTCTCGTACCACTAAATATGCATGGTGGTTATTAATGAAAGATAAATATAAACGGTGGAATGTGTACTAATAATACGAATGTGTACCTTAAATCCTGAGCAACCAGATTCATTAACCTTTTCTCTCTTCGATACTCAACCATGACTCGCATAGGATCAGTTGACACAACTTCACCTAGAAAATCTATGTGAAAAAATGTAATAAATTAGTAATAATAATCCAAATGTGTATTACATTAAAAATTGAAATATAGAAATAAGTTAAACTAACAACATAACATACCAAATGCAACACGAGTGTCAAAGTTCCTGGCTAGCAAATCTGGGAAAGAGATATAATGATAAGGATCTACTGTATCAACAAAATCATTGGATACACGAACTTTTGTGGTTTTGTAGAAATTAATTTTATGTTTATGAGGGACAAACATGTATTCGCTTTCATTGCTAGTCATAACGAAGTTACTGATCTCCCGGACAGCTCCTTAATTGAATAGGGATTCAAATACAAGAATAAGATTTTTTTTTATTGTTGCTTGAATTCTACTTCCCTGTAGGTGACAATGAAAGATAAAAAAAAGTGTAAAAAAAGTATAAAAAAAAAAAGAACAATAAGAGATAACATAAGAAATTGATAATACAGTTGATTATTAAAATTGTATGAATAGAAGTAAAAAAGCATAACAAAAATCGAATTTCAATTTTTTTGAATAGAGATAACATAAGAAATTGATAATCTAAAAAACAAATGGTGTAAAAACAGTACCTCCTGGTCAATTAAAATCATGTCCAGGCTTGTGACCATATTAGGATTGTTTATATAGGTCGGCTTCCAAAGCATGACGACTTTAACACGTATGTTCCAAGACTCTTTAGATGCGTTGATTTCAGCAACCTTATCAAAGACGACCTGATCTGCATTGTTAGATGTCATGGAATACTATTATCTGCAATGGAAGGGGATAATTGGTTAGAGAGAATTTTGATTTGTAATGAAAAATCGTAGACAGTATATTTATAAGGAAAAATAAATTTGGTTAATACTGATATCACATAAAGATTTTGGAATGTAATATGATTTCCATACTTAAGATATGTTTTAATTATGATATGATATCCAAAATAATATCAATATACCATGTCAAATATAAGTACAAAAATAAATAAAATCATACCATATTTAAGATAATATTTACCATATAAAAAATTGTAAATTTGAAAAGCTTGTAGAATAAGGAAATTATATAATAAATATACAAGATTTTCATAAATATGGTATGATATCGAAAATAATATCAATATAAGATGTTTAATATATTTACAAAATATAGGAAAATATAAATTTGGTCGAATTATTGTTCTGATAATGATGGAATCAAACACAGAATTGAGCAGCTCCGACGGTGGACGACAGACTGAGACAACACTCAGCCTGTAGTTCGACGAACGAATAGTCGCTTTCAACTTCGGGGGCGGCAGTTGCAATCTCTGGTCGTGACACAGCACTCAGCAAAGCAGATTGTTGTTTGGAGACACAACGGATATTAGCTTTTAAAAGACACAAAAATCAGCTAGGGTTTTCTGGTTTGAAGTTTGTTGGTCGTTTATTTTTTGCCGGTTAGCTGTTTTTCCACCAAAGCATCATATTGGTGATATTTAATCTAGGTTTCGTTTTTTCTGGAAGATTGAGATCGTAAATTAAATATTAGATTAGGGTTTTGGTTTTCTAGAGTTTTTAGTTTCCTAAAATTATATATCCTAATCGTATTTGAATTGTAATTGATTTTTTTTCAGCAATTTAATGGTTTTTGTATCTATACATAAAATGGTTATGATTCTTTCTTTATATCAATACAAAGTCTTATAAAAAATCTTATTAATAATTTAATTTTTTTATAAATATTTTTCTCGTGGTTGCCATAGGTTGTAAAAGATGACCCAGAACCAGGAACCGGACCACCGATGTCGGTGCCGGTTCTATTCCTGGTACCGGTTTTTGGTTCTTTTTTTAAAATAATCTTTTTTCAAAGTAACATTTTTTATAGATGAGTTTATTTGATAATTTTGTGGCTTATCATGGATAAATAAATGAGAGTATTTTGATAAATAAATTAATTTGAATTACAAAACATGATGCAAGTTTAATAAGTATACATATTTGGTTTTTATGGCATATGCTAATATTTGAATCAACCTTCTTGCATGTGCTATAGCAATCTCTGCTTCACCTTCATTCAATATGCTTTCTTCTTCATCCTTTTTTTCTTCCATATCTCACCTAAATATATAATTATTTTTTTTAGAATTCATAGAATTTATAAGGTTAGATCAAATATCAAATATGCATACCCTGCAATGTCTATGAGAAGAAGAGTAGGTTCAGTGGAAGAAGAAGACTTCTCAACACCTACAAGCTCATATAGGGTATGTCGAACAGCACTTGCATGAGCTTTAGTCTATCATTATTAATTACTTCATTACTCATTATTATTATAACAAATATAATTAATAGATAAATAAGGTTAATAAAAAAGTCAGAATTAAATTACCTTATTGTTGTAAAGCTCTTTAGAAGACCAAGTCATTATAAGTTCATGCATGCTATATTGCACAGTCACCATAGACATGACGTCATCTCCATATAAATATGCAAGGCGTTTAAAAAGAGTGTTTCCTAATCCCTTTTTTTCAGCTTCAACACTTCGAAATGTTGGAGGAAGTTGTAAATGATCCCCTGAAAGTAAGCACTTGAACCCTAAAAAACAAAATCCTTTTTACTTCAATCATCCAATATGTTGCCAATTTAAAAAAAAAAAAAAAAAAAAAAAAAAGGTTTTGTTTTATTACCTTGAAAAGAGCAATCCAACAAGCAATCTCTAGGCCTGAGCAGCTTCATCAATAATGACTAAATCAAATGAAATTCCATCTAATTTTCTTGATGATGAACCTGTAAGAGTTGCTAGGATGAGAAATGAATTTTTAATTACATTTGTCACAACAAGTTGTTGCTTTTTTCCTTATTCTTTTGAAAGAATCCTAAGTTTTTATGGATTTCCCTCTTTTTGTTTTTATCTTTAGCTTTCAACAATTTACTATTTAATTTCTCTAATTTTTTGTAGTATTAGTTGTTCGTGATTTTGGAACACAGCACACGCACACATAGAGAGCACACACAAGACAAACAACAATCATGCAGAGCAAGAAGTAGGACAGATACGACAGAAGCAGACTTATTTGAATCCTACACCCAAATTATGTATCTGGTTCTGTATCTAAATCCCACACCCAAAAGAGAAAATTGATGAGACAATATAATAAAATGTAGAAACTACGTACAAATACATACATGAAAGATTAGACTGCAGTGATGATGTGAGTAACTGTACTCCATAGTGTTCCTGAATCCAAGGAAATTAATCTATCAAGAGTTATGATTTGTTTAATTGAAAATGGATTTGGAAAAACACAAAAGAGTGTTTGAGTTTGGATTAACCTGTTCTTATTGTGTTGTTGTGATCACTGATGGCAGAAACTCCATGGATGAGTTCTTGTTCAACTGTTACGTATATGATATATATTGAAATCAAAATCAACATGGAGTAAAACAGAAACCCAAACACAAAAAGAGGAGAAGAAATTGAAGATCAAACGGAGCAAACCAGTGAGCTTTAAAGAAAATAACCCCAACATGGGAGTTTATGATGCCCATGCCCAGGTGTCGGCTTAACATCATTATGTTCTTGTACCACTTCTTCATCAGATGCTTTTGTTGATGCATTTCCAAACCTGTAGATTACATGACACATCTTTTCTTTAAGAAAAACATGTGTTTCATATATCGATACATAAAATAAGAACTTGCCTTTCTATAGAATCGACAATTTACTCCAATGAATTACTAAGGGATGCCAACAATATAAGTTTGTTGTTATCACGAATTAAAGACTCCTGAAACAATAGATATCTTATCTTATTGTAATCTTCTATAAAACAATAACTTAAATTGTTAAAAGGAATAATAAGACAGATCACAGACCTGTTTGATTGGCCTTAGTTTCATGAGAAGAGCACTGATTTCCAATTCAAACCCATCAGATTCAGCATCAGCAATATGGTTATCTTCATTGGCATGAGCATGAGCAAGTGAAGTTCGGTTCTTGAATGAAATTGGCCATTTAGCGTAGATATCAACAAAAGGTGGAAATGGAAATAGTTTTAAGAAATAGCTGCAGGATTTCTTGAAATTATAATTACAAGTAAATTATGCCAAAAATAGAGATTATGGAGAAAGTGAGAAAAAGAAAAACCTGGATAATAAGGCCGAGGCAAAGAAGGAGATTGAAATTCACCAGAATAGTGGGGATCTTCAAGGTTCAGTAACCAAACAAACTCATCTACCTTTTTCGAAATATCCGGTAAACCAAGAGCTTCGCTCGTCCAATTGACGCCTGCACCGATATTCTTCTTGAGAAAATCGACATCTTTCTTTACAACTTGTACGAAATGCCCAAATCTTCTCCCAAATAGAGAAAAGAACATTCTTCTAGGTTTTCATAAACTTCCGGTGAATTTGGGTGGAGAGTTGATGGTGAATTGGGAACGAAGGGTGGAAAAGAAACTGATGGTCGAAAATCGTTGATGGTCAACACGGTGCCCCTCAGGAATTCTTGGGGTTACGCATAGGATCGATTCCATTTCATTATTTAGTAGAACGCATAGGATTGATTCCATGTATAGATGAAATCAATGGGGTTATGCAAATCGGCAGAAGGAAGGGGTTAGGGTTCATATCTATTGAGTTTCAGGGGAGTTGAGTGTGTTGATTCTTTAGAGAGAAAACATAAGAATGAAATTAGGAATGAATCGTAAGAAGGAAGTTTTATTCAGGAGGCGCGTGTATTTTTTTGGGTCAGGATGATGTCAGCAAAATGATCCTAAGGTGGAGACTATAGGAGGGAAATGCAATCAAGGGTTGATGTTTCTTCATTGAATAATTTAAGGTTTTGTTTTAGTAATATTTAGAGATTCTTAATAGTTAGGGTATTTCGACGAAGCCCGGAGGTCCCTGAGTGCCCGAAATTAGTAGCTATCAGGTCGGGGTTCTGCTAACGCAATTTCCTAGTTTTCGCTAGAAACTCTCTGTAAGTTAGGCTACACTTATTACGCTTTAAGTGTGACTTATATTTATATTCATATTCATTATTATGAATGTGTAAATATGGTTTATTAGTAATTCTAGTCATAATCTCGATTGATATACTTATGGGAGAGGTGTCTAGAATGGTCACATTGGCTTTGTTGTTGGATTTCAGAAAGGCTATACGCCGAAATGGTCATGTCTCCCAACTGTTCTGTCCGACTGATCCTTATTTGATAGAACTCTCGATATTCATTGGGATTAGTGAAAGATCTAGTTTTCATTACTAGATTGCCATAGGGATTAATAAGTTATAGAATTATAGGTTAATACTTGTTGAGCGCTCTACCAGCAAAATTGGATCGCCAGTAGAAACACCCATATAACACTTAATCATTTGAATAACTGTCCAGGTGAGTTTTCTCACTATATTATGTGCTCCAGTATATATCATCTGCATGTTAGGATATAGTTGCCCTGTAATATGCAATTAGGCTATTTCTATTAGTTTCTTGTAGTGTTTAATTAATGCTTGTTGTGTATATGTATATATATATGTGTGTGTGTGTGTGTGTGTTTGTGTGTTGATATATTATATGGGGAGTTGAAAGCGGACCAACCTCGTACTGAAGGCCAACACATTCGAACGGACTAGCATTATGCAAAAGGCCAAGCAACAGACCAGTTGGTGGATCAACTTTATGCTAAAGGCAAAAGGGCGAACCAACTTCGTACTGAAGACCAAGGGCGGGCCAACTTTATGTTGAAGGTCAATATGTGTATGCATTGTATATGTATTGTAGGATATGATATTTTGGACCCTAGCCGCCTAAAGATTCTCCATCAACTCTCATATGTTATTCCGACGTCTGTCCATTTACCAACTATTGTTTCATCGTCTCCTTCCACCGCGTCGACCTACACATCTCCTTCACTATTTTCACCGATGGAAGCCACAAAATACCCCACCCCCAATTCCTTTTCACATTTTTCCCTCCGACGACGTGATGTTGCGACAGTAGTTCGAGGCAAATTCCGACTTAACGCAATTGAACGAGCAATGGGAGAGAGATGAAAATAAATAAAAAAAAACACCATGGCTACTTACGATAGCAGCTTCGCTGCCGTGATAATGGCGCACCGCCAGATAGTGTCGACGGTGGTTGAGTGTGATCCCGCGTTGTCGGAAATTAGAATGGTCAAGCATCAATGTTCAATTTTTTACTGATTTGAGGAATTAACAAGGTATTTCTAAGCCCTGAAAGCTAATGTTTTTCTTGAATAAGCTATGTATGTTAGAAATTGGTTTTGTTTGATGATTCTTATATTTTGGAACGCATTTATGAAATTCTTGGAAAAAGCAACATTGGTGTCATTCCTATATCAATTTTTAGAAATTTAAAGCTAGTTTTGTTGTTAACAAAGAATTATTCGAACACAGTAAACCAACCAAAGGTTTTAAATCTATTGTATTTGTTTTTTTACATATCTAGATATATATGATTCTGTTAATTTGTTTCATTAGAAAGAGAATATATAATTAATTTCTCTTGTAATTTGAAAATTCATATGATTTATTATTCTTGGTACGATAAAACACAATAATTGAGTATCAATTACATTGATTTCCTATCAATGTATAATATCTATTGGAAATTGTCTTACGGGTAATTTGGACATTTTGTGTAATTGATACCCAATTGCAGTGTTTTATCGCACCAAGAATAATAAACCATAAGATTTTCTCCTTTAAAAATCATATGGTTTATTATTCTTGGTGCGATAAAACACAACAATTGGGTATGAATTACATTTATTTTCTCCTTTATAAATTTGGAATTCATTATTTTATTTCCTTAAATAAAGATACACAAAATGTCCAAATTACCATAAGACATTTTTAAATTTGAATTCTTAAAAATAATAATAATACATGTAATGATGTTCTTTCAAGATAGATTTTATTTATGATTGATCCAATGGCTAGGATTTAATTACATTAGCCCTGTCGAAAATACCCGATACCGAATTACCTGCCCAGTTTTTTCAGATATCGGGTAAATTGGGTCTGGTTAATTGGGTATCGAGTTAATTTTTTGGGTATTTGGGTAACCCAATTTTTTAAGGTAGGGTATAGGGTACGTTTGTTGGGTTTCTGGTATACCAGAATTACCCAAATTATTAATTTTTTTTCTTTCGTAGAGTTTGTACTCGGTAGCAGGTATTTGATCACGTTTAAAATAACTATCATTATTGTAAAACATAACGCTCTTTAATTATGGCAGTATGACACCAACAATATTAAAAGCAATTGTTTATATGTCACCATGTTCTTTAAAACTTAATTGTTTTCTAGATTATAGTTTTTATTATAACTATGTTATGAATCATATGAATAATAAGTATTTTAATTTCTGGAAAGTATCTTATTTTAAGAAATTATCTTATTTCGGTTTTTAAATTTGGTAATTAGGATCATTGAGTATTTGAGTCGATTTGGGTGATCTTTGTTTCCTTATTAGAGTCTTTTGTTTATCCTTATTTAAAGGGTAGTCGTTCATGAAATAAAATTATGCTTGAAGTCAATTGCTTTTAATCTCTTAGAATAGTTTAACCTAGTCTCCTCTCAATAGGAGATTAGGTGTTAGTAATACTCACGATTTTAGGAAGCACAAATACAGGTCCTGTCACGAGATCTAGATCCCAGGCCATAACGAATTTGGTATCAGAGCCACTCGTGATGGCGACTCTTGCAGAAGAGTTGATGAAAAAGTTGGAGGAATTCATGATTCAACAGGTACAGAGAAATAATGAGATTAAAGGGGCGATTGCAGACTTACAAGCTAAATATGTGTCCGTGGAAGAAGGTTTGTCAAAACAGAAAAACTCTAAAAACGGATTAAAAGCTAGCTTGGAGGAAGAAGGTGAACAACAATTTGAAGACAACAATGAACCGATTGGGGTAGAGGCAAGGGTATTAATTTGGGCGTGCAAGAAGGAAAGGGATTCATATCCTTAATGGGGGTAGGACGAGGATGAGGAGAGTTTGGGATAAATCCTAACAACGCAGGGAAAGGGTTTGGAATAAACTCTAACGACACAGGGAAGGCACATGAATCGGAATCATGGAGGAGTACTTACCCACTGAAGTTCAAATATAAGTGGGATCCTTTAAAAGGTGAAGCATCAACACATAATCGAAAAGGTGATCAAGACCCTATGTATCAAAGGAGGACAGAACCAGAACATGGGTTCAAAATATGGGACGAAACTGATGAAGTCAATAGGTATAAAGCAACTAGGGTGCCGAAATTTACAAAGATGAAGTTTCCAACTTATGATGGCAAGGAATACCCCCTGGCTTGGCTACAGAATTGCGAAGATTTATTTGAAGAACAACAAACTCCAACTAAGGAATGGGTTCGTCAGGCAACCTTTGTTTTTCAAGGCAAGGCAAGCGACTGGTATCGAAATTTGAGACGGATGAAAGCACGGCCAACCTGGAACAAATTTGTGGAGGAGTGCAAAGTTCATTTTGGGCCTCCGATGAGTATGAAACCACTAGGAGAACGAATGCAACTCAGGCAAACCGGCACGGTGAAAGATTATTGTGCAAGTTTCGAGTCTCTATTAGGAAGAACGACTGGAATAACTCCATAACAAAGCATGTGGCACTTTTGTGTGGGGCTAATAAACATGATAAGATATGAGGTTGAATTTTCGAGACCCATAACTCTATACTATGCCATGAATCTAGCCATACAAATTGAGCTAAGAGTGGCAGAAGCAGGACAACCAATAGGGGTTGGGCCTACATGAAACCAAACCTCGACTGCAATCCAAAAACGAGAGTCGGAAGGAAAAAGGAGGAGTTGGAAACTACAAAACTGAAGCACTAAATCCGGCCTAGAAAAAAACTAACGACTGTAGAAATGGCTGAGAGGCGGGCAAAAGGCTCGTGCTTCAATTGTGATGAAATATTCTCGATAGGGCATAAATGTGCCAAGCTATTTTTCCTCATGATGGATAATTGTAAGAACAAGAACGATTTGATGCGCAGGGACAAGGTTTGAAAAGTCAAACCTTGAGTGAATGCTTAAGATTAATGTCTGCTTGCTAATAAATGTTCTAGGCAAGCCTGGATAGACCAGTCAAGTCTGAGTTAAAGTATTCAACAAATGTTCAAGCCATAAATGAAGAATGAGAATGAAGATCAAAGTAAAGTTAATAAATGAAGAACAAGAATAATGTTTGAAAGAATAATCAGAAAGATGAAGTAACTTGAATGTACTAAGAATTTTGAATAATCTGTCTCTTGATTTGATATTGAATGCTCTATAAATAGGAGTACAAGAAACATAATACTAGCCAATTACATACATAGGACTAGATAAGAGAGTAACATCTGACACTCTGAATATCCGAGTTGACTAAAGAAAAAGTCCTATGACTGGTTAAATCAAACTAAAGACAAATTACATTAAATACAAGACAAAATATTGATTTCTGAACAACAAACATTTCAGACTTAAACAGCCATTCTGGAATGCCTTCACTCTTGATCTCCTTATCATCAACACATCTTCACGTCTGGACACAAACTGATTCCGGACCAGTCTTCACTACGGATCACCAGCTGACTTTTGACTGGCATTTGGACTTAGGATTGCTAGAGGTTCACTTTCAGGTTCCAACAATCTCCCCCTAAGTGAACTTATCAATCAAGCCAGCTTAGATAGCTTCTTCCTTGATGAATGTATAGGCTCTGAACAACCATTCTCGGACTTTGGTGTACCAGGACAACTAACTCACAAACTTTACTTTGACATGCTCCAGAGCTTCAGACTTGGTTGCACGACTGATGAACTTCTTAAGTGCTTTTGTAAGAACCAGGTGTTTGTCAAGGACTCGAAAAAAATCCTTCTTGTTTGTCTTCTTAGTCTTTTAAACAAACCCTAGAACCGGATCATCAATAGGGCCTTCAGCTAACAGTTTAGCTTCCAGAAGCACATACTCTATCTTGGCCACAAAGTCTTCGGTTCCGAACAAATGAGCTAACTCATAGTCACGTCGACTAAATTCAGCGACATAGTCTTTGAGGAAGCTCAGGGCTGCATGGTAAGCACCCATACCGATATCATCTTTTTATCCTCGGAAGTGAGCAGCTAAAGTCAGAATGTTGTTCGGATTCATCACCGGAAAGTCAACATCGGTGATGGTTTGATAGGATGGCTTGTTTCGGATAACATAATATTGGAAGAGTGGACAGTTAAGTTCAAACTTGGTGAGGACTTTTCTTCCGTACCCATAAATCTTGGTGATCTTCTTCCTCGTCCATACTTCCGTAAAAGGAAGTGCATTCTTGTCATAGAATGTTTTAAGCCTTTCACGCTCTGTTTGGATGGTGACCTCCGGATTGTCGTTGGGATGGAGAGGAGCAAACTTAATGTAAAAATTGAAGGGTGAGAGAGGAAGATCGAGCTGTTCGAAATCATCAGAAGGAATGTCGTAGTACATAAAAGGTACTAAGTCGACATCCTTAAGAATGCCTTCACGGAATAGAGGAGAAATGTCACGCATCGGATCAGGGTCGTCTTTGAGTGCTTGAATCCGGATGCTGTCCTCTAGAGCCTTGTTAATTTCTTCCTGAGACCATCCAAGTTTTTGCTTTGGTGGAGGTTCGGAATCCATGATAGGATTCTTGCCTTTGTCTTGGTTTTTATTCAGGACTAAGATAACATGCAACATGTTCTCATCCACTGTGACCTTAGGATGGGAGAATGGAAGAGGTTCTTCCGGAATGTCATCCGGGGTCCGGAAAGGAGAACCTTCATCAATCGGAGTTATGTTGTACCCTACATGATAGATGAAGCTATCATGTGAGATTAGACCATTTGGGTCTATATAAGAATAGAATGTTGAGGCACAAGAAGTTGTGCATAGAAAGATAGAGTGTAAGCAAAGTATGAAAAAGGCATGCTAAGAGTAAGAGATGTGAAAAGAGCAGAGCAAGTGTATGAGAAGGGCATGCATAGAAAGAAAGAAAAAGTAGAGAAATATGAGATGAGATAGAGTATGAGAAAGAGAAAATAAAAGAAGTGAGAAGAGTATGAAAGAGGTAAAGAATGAAAAGAAGATAAAGTATGAGTAGAGTAGTATATAAGCCTGAGAAAAGAAAAAAAAAAGAATAGAGAAAAAGAGTAGAAAATAGAGTATGAGATAGATGAGATAAGAATGCATGAGAAAATAGTATAAGAGATAGATTAATGAGAAAGAATAATAGCGTATGATATGAAAATTGTAGATTTGATTGTAGGGTATGAGAAAGAAAAGAAAAGAATGTTAGATTATGGAAAGATAGTAGATGTTTTACATGTTTTGCAGTTCAGATAAAAACCGCTGTACGTAAGAAAATAGGAGCACAATGACCTTAGATTAAAAGAATAGATTTTAGTTCTTTGTGTTTTCTTTGATGTTCATTTTTATAGTTAGATTTTATCGTAAACTCTAAGTGTTTTATTTTTTATAGAGTTTTGTATTTGTAAGAAAAACTTTGGTATTTCCCTAGATACATTTGTAGAAGATTCAAGTCGATGCAATTTTAGTGACATGAAATCGATTGAGATTAGACAAAAACTAAGAGTTTTCATAACTTTGAAAGTTCAAATAATTTTGTGTCATCAAGATCTAAAACAACTTTGAAAATGAAGGATCCATGAAAGAAAATACAAAATCAAAAAGATTTTATAAATGGGAAGTTTGGATTGAATATGAAGTATGTCAAAATTATACTTCATTTACAGAAAATAAAAGTTACGAATTTTGGTATTTTTACTTTTTTTTATCGAAATAATATTAGATATTTTTAGATGAAAATTTGTACCCAACCATTTATGTCTTTTGCATGGATGAAAAATGAAGAGCGAATAGTCCCACCTAGTTGCCTTTGTTCCCCTTTTAACGCTGACTTTAGTTTTATTAAAATCGGTCCATTCCAAATATAACATGTGCAACAAATATTATTTCAATGGTTTATTTGGGCCATTGATCTTCTAAAATATGGGGTCTTACCAAAACTAGAAATATTCTTTTGCAATTAACCTTCTAGTACTATGCCCTATGTATCGATTTCTTATGTTTGTATTAATGTATAAAGCTCCATAAAGTGTGAATATTTCTCTTCCATTGATCTCAAATAAGTAAGTCCGAAGAAGAAAACCTTTATGCGAAGTTTAGAACTCAATTGTTTTTTTTTTTTATGGAAAGCCAAATATTTAGGATATTTGTCAAAATCATTTTCTCCAAACTTCAACATATTTTTGGTACTTTACAAAAACACATATTATAACTACCGCATATAACTGAAAGCGTCCCTAAGATCAGTTTGTTTATCTGTCCACATTTTTAGGTGGGACAAAAAGCTGCAACTTTTGTCTCATTGCATGAATCAGCAAATACTCATTTTGAAGTTTATGCATCTCTTTCTAGATTTTATGAAACCAAATGAATCAAATGAATATGTAAATCAGGCAATTCCACACACAAAAAAAAAAAAAAAAAAAAAAGAAGTTGGAGTTTTACTTGGTTGCCTGTGCAATTATATTGCTTATAGAATTTGTTTCTTCTTTCACTGCCTCCACTAAAGAATCCTGCAAAAAATTAAAATAAAAATGTTAAATGTTAACTGAAAAAATAAAAATAAAAATGTTAAATATTACCTGTGCAGATACTAAACGGGAAACTGTCTTTTTGCTTGATTCTTGAAGTTCTCCTGCTATTAAAACTTCATCCAGTATGTAGTACGCCTGCAACAAAGACCAAAATACCCTCATTAGGTATATAAACTGAAATAAAATAATTTATTTCAGTTATAATAAAAACGATTTGCACCATGAAATTTTCCAAAAACGAAAACTGTTTCACTTTTTCATGGGCATATAAAATAACATACCTTATGAAAATTAAAGATCAAATCCAGCTCACAAACCTAGCCAAAATAAGTTCCAAATTAGTTTCATTTTCCTGATTTTAATAACATATGTTTAATTTACTAATTTCTACCAGGTTTAGATGACTCACACTTCCAAAGTAACGATCAAGAATCTCAACAAAATGATGAATGATTTCAAGAATCTCCAATTCATTGTCTTCCTGATTAACACACATACAAAAGTAGAGGCTTGCATATCTGACAAGTAAAAAACACTCACATTTATACTAGTTAAAGTATTATTTCCAATGATAACAATGAGGAGGGCATTCATGTCTTTTGCACAGACAAAAAATTCGCATGATATACCTTTTATAAACAACTTTAAATCCCTTCCACTCAACAAAATTGCAAAGCTTGGGACCACGTGTGAGAATCATCCCGCTAAGCTCTCTTATAACCTATACAATTTTTTTTTTTTTTTTGTAATTAAAAATCACATAGTTCATAATCTGTGTGTGAAGAGTATGATATGTTTTATAAGGAGAATAACATACCTTACTTCGTTCCTTTTGGGAATAGGGTGAATACCATTTTGTCAATCTAACCTTTCCTTGTCGACTTATTAAGAGAACAAATTGAATCTACAACAAGAAAATAAGTGTCAAACTAAAATTTCCATTATTTTTATTCTGCTAGGAGGTAGAAGAAGCTCAAGACATTAAAGTAATGGATGCACATCAAACCTAGATTTCACATGAAGCACAAATACATATTCAATGAGGAGGGCATTCCTGTCTTTTGCACAAACAAGAGACTAGAACTAGTCCAGAAACAGAGTACAACAATCATTCTATACCTATGACAATGGGCTTCACTGAAGTGCATAATGGTTGCACACTGCTAACTTCTCTCTTAGAGACTTGGTTAAGTGTCTAACTAGCATCCACTAGAAATGTGGAGTGATCAGATCAACATGTAATAAGCAGAACATGATGTTACATCTGTATCTATCTTTTTCTGATATAGTCATTTTACGAATACAGAGATCAGGCTCACTTTGCAACAAAAGAAGAGGCATTATATTACAATTTCAGTGCAAAAATCACAATATCTTCAAGCTTAAACCGACATTTTCATGTATCCCAATCCTGGAGAACTTTGGAAAGTGAAACCAAATCCTCATGAATGGATATCCTTTACAGACCCTAATTCCACAGCAACGCTTTGTAAAAAAGTAATTATCAAAAAAGAGAAATGTTTGAGTTCTCACCATGGTTGAAACTATCCAACAGAAGCTTCACGTCTGCCGATCAGATCCAACTGAGAGGATGACCGGAGAACATGAAATGGCGTCAATTATTACAAAAATTAAAGCAGATCAAAAGATGAATAGACATGAATATGCAAATCGGAATGGAATTATATATTAAATTAAGAATGTTCTGCGGATCAAGTCGAAGAACATGAACCTTGGAGAGAGAAAGTGATGAGCTGGATTTGCTTTTGTTCGTCACCGGTGAAACGGAGAACAGAACCGCCGGGTTGGATTATAAACCGAAAATGTAAAGTTTCAATAACAGCCCTGTAGTTAAGGAAATGCGGTGTTTGGGATTACTTTTGGAAAAGGATTTTTTACCAAGATTTTTTCGAAAAGAATTTTTTTAAAATGTGTTTGTATTAGCTTTAATGTAAAGGTTAACTTTTTAAAAGTCATAAAAATATAGGATTTTATGACTTTTAAAAAACTAAGTTTTCCTTCTATACAAAAAGTTACTTTTAAGAGGTCTTTTTCATTAGTGAAACATCTTTTGGTTTCTTTTAATTTTTGGAAAAGTCAAAAGTTGTTTTAAAAGGAATCTCACACATGATGAGTGATTTTCTCGTACCAGAGGCGATGGAGCTCCTCAACAGAATCCAATGGGTCATTCATTATAATGTTATTTCTCCTAAATCAACAGATGTTTTAAAAAAATAGTTTTGCTATCCAAAAATGGCTAACGGCGCCGCTTGTTGTCCGTTTGCCTTCCGTCGACCAAAAAGTTCTATTCATATGGGTGTAACTCAACAATACCGACATTTGTGGGTTCAATGCAAAAATTGTTATGGATGAAATTATAAGAATTTTTTTAAATCAAAGATGCATCTTTGTGAACAATGTGGATATCATTTGAAAATGAGTAGTTCAGATAGAATCGAACTTCTGATCGATTCGGGCACTTGGGAGCCTATGGATGAAGACATGGTCTCTCTGGATCCCATTGAATTTCATTTAGAGGAGGAGCCTTATAAAAATTCTATCGATTCTTATCAAAAAAATACAAGATTAACCGAGTCTGTTTAAACAAGCAGAGGACAACTAAACAATATTACCGTAGCAATTGGGGTTATGGATTTTCAGATTATGGGAGATAGTATGGGATCCGTAGTCGGGGAGAAAATTACCCGTTTGATTGAATACACTACTAAAGAATTTCTACTTCTTATTATAGTGTGTGCTTCCGGTGGGGCACACATGCAAGAAGAAAGTTTGAGCTTGATGAAAATGGTTAAAATATCTTCTGCTTTATATGATTATCAATCAAATAAAAAGTTATTCTATGTATCAATTCTTACATCTCCTACTACCGGTGGGGTGACAACTAGTTTTAGTATGTTGGGGGATATCATTATTGTCGAACCCAATGCCTATATTGCCTTTGCGGGTAAAAGAGTAATTGAGCAAACATTGAATAAAACAGTACCCGAGGGTTCACAAGCGGCCGAGTATTTATTCCAGAAAGGCTTATTCGATTTAATCGTACCACGTAATCCTTTAAAAAGCGTTCTGAGTGCGTTATTTCAACTACACACTTTCTTTCCTTTGAATCAAAATTAGAACATTAAGTTTAATTATTTTGAGCAAACAAGTAATTAGTTTATTGGAATCCAAGTTAAAATTAGACGAATGGGGTTTTCTTTGTTGGCATAAGATCTAATTATATAAAGAATAAAAAGTCACAGAAAATCCGCCCCTTTTTCTATATTCACGATTGTTGATCAAGAAGCCTCCATTAACAAGATAAAAGATGAAGTTCTTATTTTCGTGAAATTAGGCAAATCAAAAAAAATATACTCTTCTCGTCATATATAATGAAAATCTATAAAATATAGAATTTTTTCTTTTTTTTATATCTTAAGATAATCCTATTTTGACTAAGAATCCCTAAAGGATGGGATTCTAACAAATCCTTCAACATATTCAATATAAATATAAATAGAATCTAATTAATTTTTAAGAAACTTTTTGCTTAGTAAATGAAATTCGAAGACAAGAGCAAAAAATGAAGAAAATAATATCTCATCGATATCCTTTCAAATCTTTCATGTAGAAAGATCAAAAACTACATTATATACTCACTTTGATAGATACTTATATTTATACTTAATATCTATTAAGTAATAATAATAATTCCAATTTAGAATTATCAAATTATAATAAGATATCTATAATAAGATATCTTTATATTATAAATATAAAATATAAATAATAATAACAGGTACAAATAGTAAATCGAGGTAGCTATGACAACTGTTAATTTTGTCTCTGCTTTGGTGCCTTTAGTAGGCCTAGTATTTCTGGAAATCGCAATGGCTTCTTTATTTCTTCATGTTCAAAAAAACAAGATTGTTTAGAGCCGATGACACAAAATCTCATCTATTTTTTTTTTCAAAACTGAAGCTTGTATCATAACACAGATATCTATTTAGCAAAATATGGTATAAGCGGCTTCCGCTGAAAAACTCTTATTTCTCCAAAAAAATGTTATAGTGATCAATGGATTCTAGCTATTTTCAAATAGACCCGAATTGACGGATAGCTGAACTGTAAAGTTGGTCTATCTATATATATTTGGCTATCTTTAGTGAGATTGTACGAAGGTATGTTATTAGTTTAGATCTAATGAAATTAATGAATTACTCCTAAAGGATCACATCAAACTAGTGCTAGTTGAAGTGAGTTGCTTCGAAAAAAAAAAAAAAAAAAAAAAAAAAAAAAAAAAAAAAAAAAAAAAAAAAAAAAAAAGGACTAAAGTCAAATTCATTTGGGGTATTCTCTCAATTCCAAAAAAATCAATTGGATTAAGTATGAATTGTCGATCAGAACATATATTGATAAAACCTATAACGGGGGCTCGAAAAACAAGTAATTTATGCCGGGTTGTTATCCCTTTTTAGGTTCATTAGGATTCTTGTTGGTTGGAACCTCAAGTTATCTTGGTAGAAATTTGATATCTTTATTTTTGTCTTAGGAAATAGTTTTTTTCCACAAGGAATTGTGATGTCTTTCTACGAATTCGCAGGTCTTTTTATTAGCTCTTATTTATGGTGCACAATTTCGTGGAACGTAGGTAGTGATTTTGATCGATTTGATAGAAAAGACGGAATAGAAGTGAAAGAAGGTATTTATGTTCGTCGTGTCCTTTATATCGATATAAACACTATTTGACGAGAAATAGAAATTAACTTATTCAAAAAAAAATTAAAATAATAATTTCAGGAATATATAACATGACGAGTGATGACGGATTGACCATGTTAGAAACCAAATATCACCGGGCTTTGGACTCGTCTATAACCAATTATAAATCATGTGCACCATGAGCCTACTAAGGTACAGTAACGTACATCCCTTTTAATCAATTTTAAAATCTCTTGACTTTGGGTCGGGCCCTCGTAGTTGTTTCTCTTAACTAATAAAAGCTAAATTTGGTTACTCCCCTAATATATAAAAGTTGGATCGAATGTGGTCTCAAAAATAAGTGAGGACTGTGATGATAAATTTTTACCGCATGATTGAAAAAATAAAGGTGGAGATTTTATTTTATTTATCATCAATATATCGCAAGATGATATGACATTTTTGTAATTATATGCATTTTTGTAATTATTTATATAAAAACCTAGGATCCTATTTCACTATCCTTATCTAAAAGGCGATTCGGTAGCACTGAATTACTATAATAAGGTAAAAGATCAAAGTAGTCTCTCCGATCGATCCCATTCATAGTCTTCGTACTAAACCTTGTTGCCTTACCACTAATCAAGCTTGCTTTCAACCGAGATCGCCCTTCAGTAGTTGCCCTCCTCACCCCATTCAATAGAAAGTTAACTTACCATTTTTTTTTTCAAAAATAATAAGAATTTAAGGGATACTTATACTCAATATACTAGTGACTTTTTAAAATGAATTTTTTAAAAATAAGTTTTTGAAGTATTTGTTTTTAATTTTAAGAAATATTAATTTAAAAAAAAATGATGAACATAATATGATCCAAAATGTGATGATTCAAAAAAACTTTTGATTCAACTTGCTTATGATCTTTATTTGTTATCATCTAAAAATATTTAGACTCAAATATTTATAATCCTTAATTATATTTTTTATATGATTCAAAATATATAATGATCCATAATTATTTTTTCTAGAACAAAAACGATATTTAATTAGATATATTATTGATCCAAATCATATGATTCAAAAATGATTTGATTCAAAATACTACAATTCAAAATAATTTGATTCAAAATTTTATGATCCAAAAACAATATGATTCAAAAAAGTATGAACGGAAAATATTATAATCTTTAATATTCTTCTTATTTAAAATTTTATAATTGTTAAGCATTAAAAACTCAAACTGATATTTAGTTTAAATAATAATAATAATAATAATAATAATAATAATAATAATAATAATAATAAAGAAAAACACTAGTACCATCAAGTATGTAGTAAAGATATTTAATAATAATAATAATAATAATAATAATAATAATAATTCTTTTAAAAAACGTTAAAACCAAGTATATATCTATTTAGTTTTTTTTTTTTTAATTTTATAACAAAAAATATAAATAAATAAAGAAAAACGAAAATAAATGATAAAACTCACTTAAATGAGGTTCCATATACGTTCACCGCACGTGATTAAATCATCGAGTTCGTATTGGTTACCATGGACATGGATCGCATACGAACGCACAATGGCCAAGTATTTGGGTTTGAGGTTTATGTCGTTGACGAAATTGGTGATGGAGAATTGTCCTCGCAGTTCCCGTCATTTTTGAGTCATCACCGGAAGCAAACACTATATATATATATATATATATATATATATATATATATATATATATATATATATATATATATATATGCTTGATAATAAAATACAAAGAAAAAAAATATGAAACTTTTATAAAGATTTTCATTTTTCTTGGATAAAATGTTTTCCTCATGGATATTAATTAACATCGTCTTCATCTTGGATATTGTCATTATCTTGGCTTTTTTATATTTTTTAACCCAATCTTTAATAGTGTCCTCATCTTCTTAGTAGGGTAGCAGGCCGTTCCAAAGATGGATGATAGGACCGACCGTTCATGATCCATCTTTTAAAGAGACCCAAATTTTTTATAAAAATTATTATATTTAGAAGATAGTATAAGTAATTTTCTTTCAATTATTGAGTTGTTATAAAAAACTTGATGATATTTGGTATTTTAAAGGTCCATTTTTTTTTTTTTTGCACCAAACCCGAAATATGTTTGTAACCGCCGTGAGGGAGTGGTTGATAAAAAAACAATGTGCTATTTATTCTAGTACTCATTTTCGACATTTTCAACCTCCTCATCAAAGATATGCTTTGTTGTTATGTGTCCAACTCCATCCAAGTAAAAAAAAAAAAATTAATTTTGCAAAACCTTTTATTTCTACCTTCTCAAACCTCATGTGGGCATCCTTATGCAGAACCCCTAATCAAGTCTTCATACAACTCTATAACCGACCTACAACCAATCTAACAAAAACAGTCTAGGTCCGGACTTAAACACTTGAACGTAGCCAATAAGGTTAACACTGCTTCATCCCAAAAGCTTGAACTTAGTCAAAAATGCCGGAAAGCTCATTAATGTGGGACGCAAACATGTTGCACCCTTTTGGCCCCAACCAAACATAGGCCCAAGATGAAGCTTTCAGACCCTACACTCCTTTACATAAAAATGTAGCATTTTAGTACGATTTCAATCCATAATTACAAATATATTGATTAGGAATCATACATAGTCAACTATTATTACAACATCGATAGTATTGATTCCAGGTTTGGTATGAATTCAACATCTGTGGTTATAACTTGAGAATTATGATCAAGGACCAACCAAGACAAGTAGATAAGTAGTAGAGTTGGTTCTTGATTCCAAAATTCCATAATATCAAAGCAAAGCGGTCCCAAATATCTTGGAGCCAGCCAATGGTGCGTGGTCCACAACCAGCCTATTCTATTTCTATTTCTATTTCTATGTGACCACCATGGCATTAAGGTGGTCCACAATGGTCCAGGTCAGAACATATATGGTCCATGGTCAAACATGTAAATAGTAAATGTGAAGTTGCATTAAAAAGTAGTTTTAAAACTTTATACTTTGAAACACATAATTCATCCAACTCTATAAAAAAAAAAGTAACACACACAAGTAACGAACGTAATGAGCCCATGATGTCATGTGATGATGAAAAGGCTCGGTTAACAGAATAAAGAAAAGGAGATGCAAACGATGTTGTTGATGTGTTATTGGGCAGCCGATTCGATTCAGTGGGAGTTAAGTGAATGAAGTTATGTTTATGTCTGTTGTGTCTTGTGTCTTGTGTCTTCTCTCCTTTAATCTTAGGTTCAAGTGTCCATGGCAATTGCTTCAGGAAGATGAAGCAATTTATGAGGTGACTTGGGTTTATGAGAAGGTCCAGTTAATCTATTGCTGCTGTTGTTGCTCTCTTTTGGTATTCCTAAACCCGTGTTTCCAAGTACTTTTCTCACTTCATTTGCCAATTCTATCACCATGTCATCTTCATGACCTAATCATAATAATATGATCAAGTTAGATTATATGCTTGAAAGGACCATTATGAATTTATGATGGTGTTTGGTGATACTTGATAGTGAAGGAAATGGTAAAACTTGTGTTTTTTTTTTTGTTTTGTCTAAACATACTCTCATCAAGAATGATAAGCTAGAATCTTAATGTGGGGCAAAAACAAAAGCTGACAAAGGATAATTAAGTAATTTCACAAACAACTAAAGGGTACCCTTATGGGCCAAAAATAATAAAAGATTAGCATACCAATATCAAACATAGCTTTCTCCAGCAAGAAAATGTAGTCTCTGTTGTTCCCACATGGACCAGTAGCAGTCGCAATTTGTCTGAAAATTTACACTAATAAGAAAAAGACTAAAATACCCTCAATATAAAGTATGATAAGTAGATTACTTGGCCATATCCTCCAATGGTGCAGGCCCAAGGTAATACTTATTCGATTCCTTGTCTGGAGTTGATGTGAAACTGTAACAAGTAAAATATAGCATCTGTTAGTTAAATGGAAGAGGAAAATAAATGAGGGAAAATTTTGTAAAAATGGGGCTTTCTTTATTGAAAATTTAAGTTTATTCAAACGTCAACATAAAATGGCTTACACAATAACTCCTGATAAAGTAGCCTCACTAGTCTCTCCTTCCTGAATCAAGAGATAACAAAATGTCTGCTTTTAATTTTGTGTTATGTAAAACAAAATAATCTGTTATATAATTGAAAAATGAACATATGTATCTCAGAAGTATATTCTATTTCACCTTGAAAAACTCTACAGTGGTCTTCTGATCATATTCGCATTCTCTGTTCTCTAAATACTGAAAGAAATAAGAACCAAGTTCTGTAAGTTCTTCTGATATGACACGTGTCTCTAAAGAAAGATAAAAAAAAAAAAAAAACTTTTTTAATTTTGTTTCCAAAATGTAAAACATGTAATGGAATAAAAAAAAACATACCGCCATTGCCAATCTTTCTTTCTCCTCACCTCCTTTTACACAATACACAGCGCCCCACTGAAAGAAATATTAAGAATTAGCATTCAGAAGTTGAAAATCAGCTGAAAATTGTGGAAAATTTGAAATTTGGTGTTACTTACACAGACAGCTCCTTCCTTATATTCAAGCGTGCATGTTCTTGCAGGGTCCTCAGGTGTACCTCTATGATCAATGCATGCTGTGGCATAATAACATGATCTTAATTAATAACCAGATTAAGATAGAAATGTAGAAATATGAAAACATGTAAGTGTTAGGAGAAAGTCTGCATACCTAGATCAAACACACGCCTGTAATTCTTGATGTACCCTATCATTTTATCATCATAATCAAACCCAGGGTTCCATACCAATGAACCATAGCCAAACACCCAGAAAACCATGATGAACTCCTCACAAATAACAAGCTGTTGATAGTTGAAACATTAGCAAGATGATCAAAAGAGGGGTCTTTAAATTACAAACCATTATAACTTCAGAACAAGTTCAATAAATCAAGAATGTAAATCGGACATAAGAGTAGAGTTAAAGCCCAGTTGTTATCTCCTTAATTCTTAAATACACCCATTTATCAAATAAGTCATGTTTCATTTTTGTAATGAACATATCCATATGAAAGGAGTTACTTCTGGCCACAGGTGTAACATCTTAGTGGACCAAGTCTACCCATTTAAATTAAAATAATGGTTTGGCTTTTGAAAGTTAATGAGTGCCACTTTCTAACGTCATGGTTGGTATGAAATTATGAATCAGCTTGTTAAAATATTAATAAAATCATTGAACTTTTCTTCATAAGTTTACATTTGACTTTATCTTAATGTCAAACAGATACTTTCAATATAGATGATTGATATAGATTGTGTTAACATCTAGCAAGAATTTAATAATAGAAAAAATTGCATCTCTTCTTTTCAATAAGCACATATGAACATAAATTTAATGCTACAGAAAACAGAAAAAGTCATATGAGTAAAATCTACTTCGAATTAATCGAAGAACATCGGAGTTTTAGTCTGATTAGGGTTTATCAGAAAACAAGCCCCATTAGAATTAGAATAATTTCTACTTATAGTAGAATTTACTAAATCCGTTATATTCATAAGTTTCCATTCAAAAAAAGCACACATATGCCTAGGACTATCATCATCGACTTCAATAATGTTATATAGAATCCAAAATAGCTGAAGTATTAACCAGATCTAACAAACCTATTCTAATTCCTCCTACCAACAATTATTTTGTCATCATCGATAAAAATACATAAACATCCAACAAAAAATCGATGTTAAGGCTAGTCCGATAGCATACTAACATATAATCAACATTGAAGGATAACAAGAACACGATTGATTGATCGATTGCTTACATAAATCGAAGAGCGAAGTGTAATGTGCGACTGCAACAAATCTGACGAACTTGAGATTCAAACCAATGAGAAGGATCGTCAGAAGACTTGGAGAAGAAAAAAAGGAGAGACAGAAAGCGAGAACAAGATTAGGGTTTTGAGAGAGATATTCTCTCAGTTCCGGCAAAGATGAAAGAGGATGACACCTCCTTCTGGGTTTACGCCGGTTGGTGAGGTGAATGGATGTAAGAAAGAGGACTATTTATAGAAGTATTTACCATATGCCATTCATGAATATGGTGAAACTGATAGATGATGCATGTATGTATGTGCCATGTATCATGATTTTGAAGAAACATGCATTTGTTATGTTTTTTTTCTTTTTCTTTTTTCAATTTACTATTTAAGTTTTTTTCAAGATATTGTATCTTTTTTTCAACCTCTTTCCTATAGGTTGTATCTGACCATTTATCCGACTAAATTCAACATTAATAATAACTTTTTATTTTTAATTTTTTGAATTAAACTATATATATATATATATATATATATATATATATATATATATATATATATATATATATATATATATAATTTTTTATATACAACTATAGTATTGCGTTTTAAAAGAATTTATTTTTAAAGTAATATATTTTGAATCATTTATCACTAAATTTAACATTAATAACAATATATTTTCATAGTTTTTATTTTTTATTTTTTAAATAAACCATTATATTTCTAGTTTTTGATACAGTTATATCATTGCATTTTTAAAAAGAATTTACTTTATAATAATATATTTTGAAACATTTGTCAATTTAAAATTTGTTTTTTTGTTTGTATGACTTTTTATAATCGTGTACGTTTTTCTGTAAATAATATTTTTTATTTAAAAAATAAAATTGGGATTTTATAACAAGTACATTACTATTCTCTCACATTTAAGCCTTAGATTTTGTCAACGTATGATGTGATATGTGAAGAAATATATATATATATATATATATATATATATATATATATATATATAGAGAGAGAGAGAGAGAGAGAGTTAGGTTCAAATGTTTTTAGCAACTATTGTGTGTCTAAATGCACCAATGAGTATTCAAGAAATAATAAAGAATTAACCAAATCATTAAAGGGTATTTTAGACTTTTGGTACTTATAATTAAGGAAATGATTTAATTGAATTCATTCAATTAAGGAAATAAAGTTAATATATTTGACCTAGTTATGTTTGGGGCTGAACACATTCATCATTGGCTCACCATCGCCGATTATGCTTCTTCTTCTACAATTGATGTATCATCTTGTCTCGCACCCTGTTTCTTCCATGTACCTATTTGCACCACCGCCTGCAAGGACCTTCAACAAGATTCGGGCTTTATTCGATCTTATTTTACAGTCGTTATCTTTATCTCTCTCGTTCCAAATCCATGGACCGATCCTAGAATACAATGATTTATACTCACCAGTCATAGGTATGTAATTATATTTCTCAAATATTATCAGTTCAATCAAAACCGAAGCCACATAACCATTTATGCTTTTTTTTTTGTTCGATCGTATGGAAACCGAACACAGGAGGTATACCCTCCTGTGTAACTCATTCGATGTTGCTGGTTCTGAATTGGTATTTTTTTCATTCATGATTCATAGAAAATTTGGTGATTTAGGGAGCGCCCTTAAAATGTTTGATGAAATGCCAAAGAGAAATATGACAGTCTCAGATTGTATTCATGGTTAGTAATGGAACACCGGTTAATGAGGAGATGTTGGTAAGTTTACATGAACTTTATTGATCTTTGATTAAGTTTTTTGAGTTGGGTGTTTGTAATTTTTTATTTTTTTCAGAAATTCAGAGACACCATTCTTTGATGGCAAAGAACTTGTAGCTTGAAGTATATATGATTCAATCTATGTTTATGATGTTGAAGCAAATATCTATCCTGATCATAGATTTGATGTTGAAGCAAACTGACTTTTCCTTATGTTTATGATGTTGAAGCAAACAGACATATGGGTTGATCATAGCTTTGACCTTGTTTACCTTTTTATAATATTTCCATTCTGAAAGAATAGTTTATTATATAAGAATATTATTGCTTTATTCTGATAGAATTTGTAGTTAATTAATTATATGTTTAATGTGCAGTTGTTAGAAGTGTATCACTACAAAGTATTTGGCAATGAATTCGTGATCGAAATGGCTTGGAAGAATGGCTTGAAGACCTGATGGGAAAGACTCCTTGTATAAAATCATTCTCATGCAATCCAATTCTGACAGAATGTCAATGTCACAAAATATCAATCTCATAAAATGCTAGCATATTTTGAATTGGCTTAGAGGTCAAACATACACAAGACATCTAGAATGTTGTTATTTTTTAAGAATTATACTTGTTATTCTTTCAGAATGTTTGTTATAATTCAATGAATCACAATCGTACAATGTAATTATTTGGTATATTATTAGTTCAAGAATCGATTTTGTGTATTCTTTCATAATATATTTAGTAGTTTATGGTTGATATTCTGTCATTCTGACAGAATAAAATCGAAAAATATGTTTACTACTTTATGGTTAAAATTCTATCATTCTGACAGAATAAAAATCGGATTTTTAATTTTAAATTAATTTAAAATATTTAGATTTTTAAAAATAAAGGAATTAATTATCCCTAAAAATCCGAAAATTTCCTTTTTTAATATAGGTTAATTGACTAGAATGCCGTTATGTTCAAATTTGTGTGATTATATGGTACATCTTATCCTATTCTACTATCATAAACCCTCAGATCATGACCTTTGATTATATTTCATCCAATGGTCCAGATCTGTGCATTCTGGTACACAATAGTTAGTAAAAACAAAATAACCTAACCCTATATATATATATATATATATATATATATATAGGTTCAAATGTTTTTGATAACTATTGTGTGACTGTGTGCACCAATAAGAATTCAGGAAATAATTAATTATTAAATAAATCATTTAAGGGTATTATAGTAATCTTGACATATTTAAATATGGTAGATAATTAATATGTTCTTTATTATTCCTTTAAATATGGAATGTAGTCAAAATCTGTTGAAAAAAACCCTAGCCGATCACGTATACATCGATCTATCCTCCCTCTCGTTTTCTTAGCATTGGTGGCGCCGGAGAAGGCTATTCCGATCTTGAAGCTTCCCTTCCCGGCGACGACTGCCGCTACGCCGTCTTTGATTTTGATTTTGTCACCGTTGACAATTGCCATAAGAGCAAGATCTTCTTTATCGATCTCCGATGAGTGATTAGACCGAAGAACAAAAGGAGAAGCAACGGGGTGGGGCTGTTGCTCCGATCGAAGCAGGTCAGGAGGTGGAGAGGATGTGGTGGTGGTCGCCGATTCTTCTTCTCCGGTGAAATCTAGGTATTTTTTTTATTCATGTCTTCTGATTGATCACAGAATGAACATGTTGAATTTTATCAAAATTTATACTTTGAAGATTACATTCTATTAGAATAAGTTACAATTTTTTTAATGTCTGCTATATTCTATCAGAATTACAATCCATAATGCCAATTTAAAATATTATATGCATTCTGCCAAAATTTAAAATGGCATATATATATTCTGTCAGAATAATGGTAGTGCAGTAATGGTAATTGCACTTTAGAGTTAATGATTCTTTTAGAATTTGTATTTGCCTTTTTTGTAATAGATTTGCTATGATATTTTTAACCATTCTTAGTTTTTGTTGCATTTTTTATAGGAATTGATTGAAGAATGGTTTGAAGACATGATAGGAAATGCTTGAAGAATGAATAAAAGATTGATCACACTCACATTTTAAGAATCTTGTTATGTTTTAAAGAAGTACACTTGTCATTCTTTCAGAATTTTGTTGTTATTCAAGAATGTTCTTTGTATCACAATCATACAATGTAATTATTTGATATATTATTAGTGCAAGAAGACATGTATTCTTTATAAAATGTTAGTGTTGATAATATGTTATATAATTCTTTAAGCATGTTAATATATATAAATATTGAATATAATCATATTCTACAAGAATAAAATCAAAAATATATTTACTAGTTTATGGTTGATTTTCATGTCATTCTAACATAATGAAATCGGATATTATTAAAAATTATATTCGAATTAAATTTAAAAAATTCATATTTTTAAAAATAAGGGTATTAATTATCCCTTAAAATCTGGAAATTTCCTTTTTTAATATAGGTTAATTGACCAAAATACCCTTATGGTGAAATTTATGTTATTATATGGTACATGTTACCCTATTTTAATATCATAGACCCTCAGATCAAGATCATTGATTCTATTTCATCCGTTGGTCCAGATTTGTGCATATGGGCACATAATAGATGTCAAGAACATTTGAACCTAGCCCTATATATATATATATATATATATATATATATATATATATATATATATATATATATATATATATATATATATATATATATATATATATATATATATATATATTTGAATATGTATCGAAATGAATAGGGTTAAGGTTAAGGTACTGATTTTATATTTTACTTTATTATCTATAAATTGAAAATATATTAAATATGATTAATTACAAAAATAGTTATCAAACTATTGTTGTTAACAGCTTTATACTCATGTTTTCCAGAATTTTTAATTGAAAGAATTCTGTAGTCATAGTTTTATGCTCACGGTTTGCGAATAATTAATTGAAATAGTTTTTATAGTCTTCTTTTGGTCATCCGACTTTTGATGTATGTTAAAAGGGTATATAGTCATGTTTTCTCAATAATAAATAAAAAACTGCTACATTTAAGATGGAAGTTATTGAGATTAATGAAAGACGAGCCGTTCAACATGGACTAATTACATGAATGTCCAGGTTCAGTGAATCTCCCCAATGTATGGATGGAATATATGCACATCATGCCTAATGCCACTATAAAACATAGAGTGGGCCCGTCTAAATCAATTTCGAAACGGTCCGGTTTTTTAGATTGTTTTTTTTACCATTTTCTGAGTTTTGCATGTGTCTTTTTAGCTTGGTTAAATTTTTTTGGTACGTTTTGGCTTTACCGATTCGGTTCATAACATTATATAACTTTTAAAACATATATATATATATATATATATATATATATATATATATATATATATATATATATATATATATAGAGAGAGAGAGAGAGAGAGGTAAAAGTGAATATACCCTTAAGGGTATATAAGGATAGGTACTCTAATCCACCATAATACATTGTTTTGTTTGATATATTTACTATAATGTTCTTAAACTTCAACCCTAACTTGATTTACTTTCAAAATTTTCGAAATTTCACTATTATTTTTCTCTTACATCACATCTTTATATCGGACACCTACTAGGCTTTATATATTATAGTTAAAAATTGAAATTGTGTAAGAGGAAGATAAATATAAAATTTATATAAATTTTGGAATTAAATCAAGTTAGAAGTTGAAATAAAAGAACATTAGATAATTACAATATGTATATATCATACAAAATGAAGTAATATTGTGAGTTTGAGTACTTAAGCTTATATACCCTTAAGGGTATATTCACTTTTCCCATATATATATATATATATATATATATATATATATATATATATATATATATATATATATATATATATATATATATATATATATATATATATATATAATATGGGTCACTCATTTCGAATTTGCCCTTTAAACGTTGAAACATATCGACCGACGAAACAGTTCATATATGAATGTATATTCATATATAGGGTGAGGTTCAATAGAGAACCATAATTAACCAAGGAACCAACTTTTTTTTCAACTTTTAGAACTTATTTTTTATCAAAAAAAAAAAAAAACAAAAAATACAGAAATTCATAACTTTTTTATCCTTTTTCCAATAATATAAAATTCGATTTTTTTTATATCAAATTCACAACGTGAATCCGAAAAATATTTTCCACATTCATAATGTTAATATATGAATTTAGATATTTTTAGATTTTTTTCGATAAAGAATAAAGTTTAGAAATTGAAAAAAAGATTTGGTTCTTTGAAGAACCCATAATTATGGTTCTATATTGAACTTTTCCCTATGAATATATATTAATAAGTGTATTCATATATGAATAAGTATATGAACAAGTGATTATTCATATATGAATATGGCGGCGGTAGTTGGTGGCAAAGATGCGCTTTTTGATGGTGATTGGTGGTGACATCTCCAAATTTTATGGCAAATTTAAAAAATTATTTATACTTATTTAATTTAGAGTATTCTTCAAAAAAAAAAATACATTAATGTGAAATTTGTCCTAAAACATTATTTTGATGTGAGGTAATATTGATATCAAAGCATTTCTAATTAAACGTTTTTCATTAGCATTAAGAAAAAAAACTTTTGATGTCATAATTGATACAGATTACATAAGCATAAACTTGTTTTTACATGTCT